TGTCCTGATGTTGTGCCACAAATATTGGCATCATAAGTATATGTTTTATTTGAACTCAGTTGTTTTAGCAGTCTAAGGTATAAATCGCTTACCTATTGTCCCGTTTGCTCAACTCCTTAATAGCTTTGCTAGTAGATGCAGTGTGCACAAAGTTTGAAGAGGATCGATATTTCCTGAGTTGAATGGAAAAGCCGTTGGTATCCAAGGTACCCATCCTTGTGACTTAATGCTTTGCGTGTAACGTCTGACAGTAAATGACTGACTTGGTTTCAAATAAGCCAAATTCATATAGTCTGTTGGTGGACGAATCGAAGTCGTAATTTTCTTTAAAATATATGAAAAAATATGTGTCGAAAGTAGTTGCAAAAAATATATTTGCTAGCAATGTGGTTCAACTTTAGATGGCTATCAGAACCATTGTAGAAATAAATGGCCTTTTTGGAAACGTAAAGACTCATGATGGCCCTAAAAAGGGCCAATGGTAATACTTTCTATCGATGTTTATTATTCTCAATGTCGGAGAGCTGGCTGCGAGTCGATAAAGTGACAAACCAAAGCTAACGGTCTATCAGCAGTGAAGATCTGTTGCTTTATTTGGACTGCTGTTTCAGTAAGAGAAGCTTTGGTATGGGCACATTGGTCGATAGAACGACCACAACGCTTTAAAGCGTTGAAGCTGGACGTGCTCTCGTCCAACGTCTTCTGATGTTGTGTTGGAGACGTCGGCGTTAGAAGCACCTCTTATTTCATGACACTTAGTTATCTTAGAAATTCAGGATGGAAATAAGCATAAATCGGATGCGTACTTGTAACATCTGTGTAGCTGGAATACCCAGCTGCGCGAAGAATAGATCTGTTATGACATTCTGCCAATGAATAAATGTGGTAATCAATATTTGGCTAGGCAATGTTATCACCAAACTCAGTGACATCGGATGATTACGGCTGTTATTTTTAATTTATTTTTTTAAAAAGCAATAAAAAAACTATCTAGAAAGTGTCAAGAATCAGTATGGAAAATTTCAGCGAAATCGCTTGGGTAGTTCTTGTGGTTCGCACTTTTAATTTTTTTTGTCTTTGCTTTCTCCAGTTGTAAGTAAAATTTTAAATGAAACCAAAATTCCTTTACGTCGCTATTTCATGTTAAACACAACTTATTTTTTACGAATTTTTACAATACATGTAAAGTATGCATATTTAAAGATGTTGCCCTGTTTATGTTAATGATAATAGTAGCACTTGAAACTTGAGCGTGTGGTAGATTTTGGTATTCTAAACTTGCACGTCTTTTTCGAATATACCTTAAGTTACTAAAAATAGAATACGTGAACAAAGATAAGCAATTTAACACAAGTCATTAGGAGCAGCAACTGAAATAACCTAATGGAACTTGTTAGAAACAACAAAATTAAATTTTTTTTAGATGACCTACGAAAAAATATTACTTAAAGTAACCCCTCAAAATAGCAACTCATGTTATAATACCTAATTATTAAAAAATCTATAAAATAATTAAAAAACATTTAATTTGAGAATAATTTTACAATACTACATCTTCAAAAAGCGAAAAAAAACTCTGCATCTACATAGTGTTCTGGAATTGTGAAGTGATAATAACAACTATCTATTAATAAATAAGAATGTCAATAATTAAGGTAACTGCTTAAGACAAAAATATCTAGGGTATCGTTCTTAAGTGCATTTCATATCAAAACAACTGGAATTTCAGTAACTTTTATTGTTCTTAAAACCAATAATTAAATTGACATAGTATGAAGTTAATAGTAAGATAACATAACTTACTAGAAATTAAAAAAAAGTATGTATATATATATACATATATTCCATAGACCTTATATAACTAAAAACAGTAAATCTTAGATTTGTTGAAGAATTTGTTGTAATTAGGTACTTTACCTCTGATAGTAATTTAAAAATCTCTCTATTAGATGTTTCCTTTACCCTCTAGAATTCGTACGATTAAATTGTAAATAATCTATAATACAATTATCATACGCAAAAAAAAGTCAGGAGAGCATAATGTCTTTAATAATAAATAGCGTAAAATTCATGCATGAGAATAAACTATATTCAGTTTATGAAAGATGTAAGGTCGAAATCTAAGAAAGGTCAAGTTTTTTTGTGCAGCATACTCTTTATATGACGTTTGTTGTATTGTACTTCAGAGTACTCGTGTATTAACAATATTAAACTGGGTCATTTATACTTTTAACTGATACTTAACAGGTAAAGTATAAATTACTTAGTTTGATATTGTTAATAATCATTAATAACAGTAAAATTATTTTTATGTGCCTCTTATCTAATTGTTTTCTATAATTTCTGGGCCAAGAGAAGAGTTCAGCAAAAAAAGGATCAAAAGATTGTTTTTTTAAATTGAATTTTATAATTTAGAATCAGCAATTTCCAACGTTGTACGTCGCGTTCATGCTCTATAGCGTGAAGACCAGCTTTGCCTACTTATGGGCTTGAACATATATATGTTACATGAAATGGTGCATGCACACAACGTATAAGACACAAGAGTATATAACTTTAGAGATAATATTCTTTTACTCCCTTCTCAATAAGGTAGTTTAATCAAGTTTATTGTAATAAAATTCAAGTAACAAACTTTGAATCAAGAACTTATACATCCAATCTATTAATAACTTAAGCACAAATTACAAGAGCTAATTGAGCAATTTTCACAATAATTTAAACTAAGGACTTAACTAAATGATTTGCGTATCCACAAATTCTCTATCAGCTTTAGTTACCTGCACAAATAAAACAAATAAATTAACATTGTTTAGCAAAATTAGTACTCACCTTTAATCCATAGAGTGAGCAACTCAATTTACTGACCTTTTGCTTTAGAACTTCAAGTTTCAAACAAGTCGTATGCATGTCTATCTTTAAAGCCTCTGATCACTAATCAGACTTTATACTTTAATTTTTTCTCAGATCCTGTTTTCCTTTTTAATACTTATCTGGAATCAATTACGTTTAGTTTAGTTCTGCTAGCTAAAGATTGAGGTCAATCAACTAAGTATCAGACTTGGTTTCTCCTCATGCACTGTAATTTATTTTGTGTTGCCACGAACCAAAAATCCTATACTTCAGTCTTCATAGCTTCTGAAAAAGATGCAGGATTATTATTTATACCAGTCAGTAACGCAAAATAATTTTCGTTGTAAGCTTCAAATTCGATCTCAGTGAAGTTTGCATTATTGACGATATTTTCAGGTAATGAATTTAACGTAATCTGACTCTTTTCCTTTTTTCTTTCTTCATTTCCTTGGAAGGAATGATTTGAGTTTCTTTGTTTTCAAAATTTTATATCTATATTTCTTAAAAAACTCTCAGTAGCATATGTTCTAGCCTCTAGGTTCATTCAAAGTATTGGTTTCGAACTGATTACAATTGTTGGAATTAAGGTTGCTACATGTGTTGTTGTTTGTATTATTGTTCAGATTATTATTATTTTTTTGGCGGTTTATTGTTGCAATTTAAATAAGTAACTTTATGCTTTCCAAACCACACAGGCTTATTCCCACTATTGTTATTATTTTAATTATGCTAAAAGAATACTTTACACAATGCATATAAGAATTCTTTTTGATTACTTTAAGAGCAGTACAAACATCTTATAAGAATTCTATTGAAGGGAACATTTAAGTGTTAAAAAAGAATTCTTTCTTCTAAAAAATTTGCTTATTGGGAAGGCATGAGTGGTATTTTTCGTCTTTCATTTGTTGATTTATTTCAGTTAAATTCATAAACCATGGAAAAAGTTATTCTGTTTAACTTATTTTTGCGATGCGGTTATCTATCTATTTAATTTTTTTTGTTACTGAAATTTCTTTTGATAAGACACAATTTACGATTGAACGTGAGGTGCTGAGCCTGCCCCACACTCGCCTATTTTTTACGGTGTGTGCCAGGACGTTATACTAGAATAAACATGAACGAAACTATTGTGATCTATGTTTCTTGTATACTAACTATTTCGCTAGTATATAATGCCAGTTACACAGTATCATACATTAAGAATATTAATTAGCACGTCTACACAGTACATTATTTTATACAAGCTATAAGCAAAGAATTTATTGTTTCTTAACGTTTGATATAGTTGACTTTAGTATGATGAAACAAAAATTCAGATTAAATCTTTTGAAAAATAGTAGGTAATAAATTATTAGCTTTGTACTAATACTATCTTTTTTGACAGATTTTTACATTGTAAGAAAAAAACTATAAGTTTTACCGTGATTGTCCCTTTAAAAATTACCGTGCTGACCGTAATTGTGGAAGAAATCGACATTACGAACCTTTTTATCTAACTTAGTCAGTTTTTACCGTGATGCACAGTAAAAATCGTCGGGCACCCAACAAAATTTCCCCCACCGCTCACATGCATAGATTATTGCAATATGGCATCATATGTTCCACTTGTCCCAACTCGGAGATAAAAACATGAAATGATTTGAAAAAAAGTACATACGTTACTCATAGTGTCTATGTAAGAACAGTATCCATCCGATAATCCAAAACATTATCATTAATGCAAAAATAACTTTAACCTTAAATCATACAATTTGCACATTCGTTCAAAGAAAGTCTGTTATGAATTTTCAAAGTTTACATTTTTTTTAGTAAAATACGCTGGCTTCGTTGTTTACATCTTAAGCAAAACAGCTCCCCAAATGTTTTTCGTTAAATATTATAACCTGAGAATTCATACACGTGTTCTTGAGACCTTATTGAACAATGTTGTACGAAAAAAAATTTAAATTTTGAAAACTCATAACAGAATTTTTTTTAACGAATATGCGAATTGTATATTTTACGGTAAGAATTATTTTTGTATTAATGAAAATGTTTTGGATTATCGGATGGATACTGTTGTTACATAAACACTATGAGAAACGTATGTACTTTTTTTCAAATGATTTCATGTTCTTATCTCCGAGTTGGGACGAGTTGAACATATGATGCCACATTGCGATAATCTATCTACACATGTGAGCAGTGAGGATAAATTTTGTTGGGTGCCCTACGATTTTTACTGTGCATCACGGTTAAAATTGACTAAGTTAGATAAAAAGTTCCGCAATGTCACTTTGCCCTACGATTACCATCTACACGGTAATTTTTGTAGGGACAATCACGGTAAAATTTAGAGTTTTTTTTTCTCAGTGTATAAATTATTACAATGTTAACTTTTCTCTAACACTTTTAAATTTTACCGTAGCATAATTTGTTTTCCAACACATTTCTTTCAGTGACAGGGCTAAGTGGAACGCTGCCATCGATCACGGGTGAGGACTATGGACAGGCCAGTAACAACAACAGCAATGCTGGCAGTGGCGGCACAGGGACAACCAAGTCCTCCAGCCTGCCTGCTTTTTCACATCCTTACGCTAGGAGCTACCCTCGCTATGCACCTACTTACTCAACTCAGCAGGTTGCAGTTGCAGCAGCAGCAGCAGCAGCGGCTGCTGCCGCAGCCGCAGACGTAGTGTCGTGGACAGGCTATCCCCCCGGGGCTGACTCGGTCTCGGGCTCACAGTACGTCACATCCAACTCCCTTGGGGTAGGCACGGGTGGGCGAAGACACCAACCAACCCAGGCCCAGCCTCAGATAGTCCAACAGCACCAAGCCCAGCATGCCAGTAAGTAAGCTCTTAGACACTCCACCGTATACTTTTGATTTAACTGCCCTTTAACAAAAAAGATTGTCCTTAAATTTAAACGTGCCTTAATTTAGTATGTTACTTGTGTTTAAAATACAACAAAGCATTAGTTATGAACTTTCTCCAGTATCAAGAAAATTTGCTTGTACCAAAAAATAATTATATTATGTATGTATGTTTTGTATTGTTAAAAAATAATTTCTTGAAAACAAAAATTATTTTTTAGTAAGAAATGGTATGTTTAAAAAAAATATGTCGTACCTTTCACTATTTTCTATTACTGCGGGACCTTCATTTTACTGTGACCCATATGTCACGCGTTTATACGTGTGAGGTTAAGGGTTTCATGAATAGAGATCTAAATCCAAATGAGTATATAAAAAATATTTATTAATTCATTTAAGTACGAAAAGCTGCATGATACTGTCCAGAAACTTAATAAATCTCTGTTTACTCTGTTTACAAGAAAAACAATTTTTTTTTTCTTGTAGGGGAGGGTGGGGTGGCCGTAGCACTCTAACTTAAATCAAATGTAGAAGTAACATTAAAGATGAATTCAATATTTGAAAAAAAAGCAATAAGATAAATTGAAGTAGAATCGTAATCCACAGTCAAAAAATTTTATTTTTTACACTATTGTCAACAAATAAACTAAAAATAATATACTTCGAAAATGCTCCACCTGCCCTACCGGCGGGTGGGGAGTGGCACCCCGTGGGGCAGGCGTAGCACGGTCGCAATGTCTCATTTTTATATTGAAATTTTTATGGCGTTTTTCTTTCTGTTTTGATTAAGTAAACATCGAGGGGTTGTAATAAATTTGTTAGTTGTTGTACATTACTATTTATTTTTGTTAAAAAAATTTTCTTTTTTTTACAGAAAATATTTAACAAAACTTAAAGTATTACTTAAGCATACCAACTTATGGTAAAAATGGATGTAAATCCTACAACTATAGAAAATAATATTTTCAGTCTATTATCGTGATCGTACAGCATAACAGATTAATGATTGAAAAGTAACTAGCTATTCAATTTAATTTACCTACAACTACTTTTAAGTATTGCACTTCTATTTTGTGGACTGTTTACATCAGATTTATAGGTAGGTATACCTATACGTAACAGAATAGGTTAGGCGCAGTCAGGTGATAAAGTGCAGCAAATATATACCGCAGCTGCTGACCGTGCTACGCCTGCCCTACCCTCAGTGCTACACCTGCCCCATTTTAATAAGGTTTTATATTGTTTATAACATTGTTCAGATAAATTAAAAAAAAAAAAAAAAATAGTGCTTTGAAGCTGAAGACTTAAGCTATCAAATGCACCCATTTTCGTTAAAAAAATCTATTATTTTCGAGTTGTTTTAAGCCAATCAAAAATGAAGCCAACTTTTTCTCAGCAGTGAAATTTTTTAAATTTCATAATAAATCGGAAACGTAATTTTTCGACATAGAAAGCATAGAGGATANCAAATTAAATTTCCAATTTATATAGATTTTTTTGTTGATGTTTTGTTTATTGCTAAACTATCAAATCTGGCTCAGCTTGACTCGAGTTTCACAAAGTAAACCACCATACGTAATGCAAAATATTTTTAGTTCATTAACGCTTCGGAATTTTGCATTCAATCCTAATACCTCTTGAAATACAAAAAAATTAAGATAAAAGGAATTTTTGTGTGGAATCCATGCGAATTTAATCTAAAAATAAGCTAGAAAATGTATAAAAATATAATGATGCTAAAAAGTACATACGCTTCTCAAGCTATGAAATAGTTGTTGATCTTGAACAAAATTTTTTGATTTGCACTTTTTCACGTTATAACACATACAAAAGGCTGTTCAATAAAGCTAACAAGATTTAAAACTGATGAAAAAAACCAGGTGTGGGTCTCGGGCCCCCAACAGAAGTAAAACGCCTAACTCAAATGTTATTAAACTCAATGTAACAGAAACTGAGAAAATTGGAGTGCACCTAATTTCAATCGGTCTTTAAGAATCCGATATTATTATAGAGAAAATTTTAATATTACTACGTATTTGGGCATGCGTGCGTATAGATTACATATATTTTAATGTATTCCTTATGTTACAGGTAATTTGCGCATTCTTAGTATTTCCATGTTTGCTATAACATATGTTTTATTACATTTACGAATTTTTGGTCATGTAAAGCAGAACAAAACAAAAATTTTCACCATGCTGCCCTGAAAAAAGATACTTTTATCCAGTTATGCAGGACAAAAATTCCTTTTATTTAAAATTAGTATTTGAGCATCTGTTATGACATCACATACGTACAATAAATTCTTGTTGGAATCTTTGTATTAGACAAACAAAAATTTTTTTTTCAATTTTGGCTACCATAAAAGAAAAAAAATCTACTTTATCTGATTAAGATTTAGAAAAACAACAAACATAGCTATTTTCTATTGTAGAGTTGTAATTTTTCATTACATTCGTTTTCTATAATTATTTATAATTTTTTATTAAGATTAACCCATGCTTTACTACTTTTTACTAATCTCAAAATTAATAACGAATATTAAGGTTTCGGTCAGGTGACAATAATCGTTCTAGTAATTTTTGATGAAAAATAGAAAATAAATTAATTTATACCTAGGATAAATAGGATGTATCTTTGAGATAGGACTTCTGATTTTTAGAATTCCTACGATTTTTTATATGAATTCATGTAGTAGCATTTATTTTTGCACCCCAATACTAATTTTTTTTACGTTAAATGATTTTTGGCCTATCTGGCTTTTCTTCGAAGATATGACTGTTTTTCTAGTTTTGAGAGGTTATGTTGCATCAGAAATATTTAAAGATTTTGTCAACGTCCGTATTAGTTTTTTAAACATGCCATACTATGTAAGAAATTTTTTTGACTTGTTCTCTTCAAGATATAGTTAAAAAACCAGAAAATTGAAGTTATCACTTGGTTGCGCATAGGCCAACCCTTATTTATTTGTGTGTGTCCATTTCGTTGTTTTCCTTTAAAGAACCTGTAAGAACGGTTATTTTAGGTCTATTATTTAGCTTTTTTTTAAGGTATGGCAGCAGGTACAAAAATACATTTAAAGCATTTAAAAATTTTCTTCTGATTTATCTCTTAAAAAGTTTAGGTATTTTTAAAAACATTTGTGACCCCTAAAAACTGGCCATTTGTTTGTCAACTTCTTAAGGTTGCAATGTATTGATAGTGAGGTGTTTCTACGTTAGATAGCCCTTAAAGAACCGTTGAGCTGATCTCTTTCTAAGATACCTTAGAGTAGCTTTCTCTGGCCTGCTGTTGTAGTACTCGACTTGTCGGCAGGAAAACTATGACGCTTTAGACCTTATGGAGTAGGCTGTTCTTTTCTCTTTTCAAAAGTGTCCTGATGTTGTGCCACAAATATTGGCATCATAAGTATATGTTTTATTTGAACTCAGTTGTTTTAGCAGTCTAAGGTATAAATCGCTTACCTATTGTCCCGTTTGCTCAACTCCTTAATAGCTTTGCTAGTAGATGCAGTGTGCACAAAGTTTGAAGAGGATCGATATTTCCTGAGTTGAATGGAAAAGCCGTTGGTATCCAAGGTACCCATCCTTGTGACTTAATGCTTTGCGTGTAACGTCTGACAGTAAATGACTGACTTGGTTTCAAATAAGCCAAATTCATATAGTCTGTTGGTGGACGAATCGAAGTCGTAATTTTCTTTAAAATATATGAAAAAATATGTGTCGAAAGTAGTTGCAAAAAATATATTTGCTAGCAATGTGGTTCAACTTTAGATGGCTATCAGAACCATTGTAGAAATAAATGGCCTTTTTGGAAACGTAAAGACTCATGATGGCCCTAAAAAGGGCCAATGGTAATACTTTCTATCGATGTTTATTATTCTCAATGTCGGAGAGCTGGCTGCGAGTCGATAAAGTGACAAACCAAAGCTAACGGTCTATCAGCAGTGAAGATCTGTTGCTTTATTTGGACTGCTGTTTCAGTAAGAGAAGCTTTGGTATGGGCACATTGGTCGATAGAACGACCACAACGCTTTAAAGCGTTGAAGCTGGACGTGCTCTCGTCCAACGTCTTCTGATGTTGTGTTGGAGACGTCGGCGTTAGAAGCACCTCTTATTTCATGACACTTAGTTATCTTAGAAATTCAGGATGGAAATAAGCATAAATCGGATGCGTACTTGTAACATCTGTGTAGCTGGAATACCCAGCTGCGCGAAGAATAGATCTGTTATGACATTCTGCCAATGAATAAATGTGGTAATCAATATTTGGCTAGGCAATGTTATCACCAAACTCAGTGACATCGGATGATTACGGCTGTTATTTTTAATTTATTTTTTTAAAAAGCAATAAAAAAACTATCTAGAAAGTGTCAAGAATCAGTATGGAAAATTTCAGCGAAATCGCTTGGGTAGTTCTTGTGGTTCGCACTTTTAATTTTTTTTGTCTTTGCTTTCTCCAGTTGTAAGTAAAATTTTAAATGAAACCAAAATTCCTTTACGTCGCTATTTCATGTTAAACACAACTTATTTTTTACGAATTTTTACAATACATGTAAAGTATGCATATTTAAAGATGTTGCCCTGTTTATGTTAATGATAATAGTAGCACTTGAAACTTGAGCGTGTGGTAGATTTTGGTATTCTAAACTTGCACGTCTTTTTCGAATATACCTTAAGTTACTAAAAATAGAATACGTGAACAAAGATAAGCAATTTAACACAAGTCATTAGGAGCAGCAACTGAAATAACCTAATGGAACTTGTTAGAAACAACAAAATTAAATTTTTTTTAGATGACCTACGAAAAAATATTACTTAAAGTAACCCCTCAAAATAGCAACTCATGTTATAATACCTAATTATTAAAAAATCTATAAAATAATTAAAAAACATTTAATTTGAGAATAATTTTACAATACTACATCTTCAAAAAGCGAAAAAAAACTCTGCATCTACATAGTGTTCTGGAATT